AGAGGCTGAGTGTGAGCAGAGCAGCCTCCACTGGGCACGGAAGTGCTGGTGAAGCTCTCCATGCTGTGCCGTCGGGGCCCCCAGGGATGAGAAGCGGATGAGAGGACAGGATTTGGGGTCAGAGCCTCACAGAACACTTACATCCAGTGGGCGGGAGGAATGAAAGTAGTCAGGGAGGAGCCCGCTGTCCCAACAGCAAGAAGAGGACTAGGCCAAGGGCAGGAGAGCTTTTGAGAAGGGGGTGATGAAGTGCCCACTGTTGCAGCAATGAAAGGAAGAGGAGGGTGACAATGTCAGCAGAGTTCATGACTGGGACTTTCTGAGAAGCAATGTAGGCACGGCTATGAGGAAGGACAGGGGAGCGAGTCTCTGGAGGCACAAACGTTGGTTTCCTCTGCCCTCCATCTCCTCACCCCCTCAGCCATCTTGCCTCCCACCTGAGCCAAGGCTCAGGAAAGCCTGAAAGAGGGGGCCCATGCCTATCACCACCTTCTCAGCAGCATCAGAGGGGGTTCCCTGGGGCACGACATCAGACACGGGGAACAGAGGCACTTCCTGAATAAAAGAGTCGAAAGTCCAAAATAGGTGCATGCCACAAATGTGCCTTCTCAGGACATTTGTAAAGTGGCTGTGCTCCAAACTGCAGCGCTTGAGGACCCCGTTCCCCCAGGTGTCTGCAGTGAGAGCCCCCTCCCAAGAGGCTTCCTTTCCAGGTCCCCACCCTGCAGACCAGGCCTCCTGACCCATTGGCCATGATTTCCCCTTGCTGCCGCAGATGAGGCAAACTGCCTGAATCGATTCAGTAGGAAAGAGCAAATCATGACAGGAACATGCAGAGCCAGCAGAGTGTGTGTGTGTGTGTGTGTGTGTGTGTGTGTGTGTGTAGCACATGACTATAATTACTGTAAAGAGTGACTCACCCAGACTCCAGGAATTCTATACCCCCAGGTGACTCGTGAGTAAGTCAGCCTCCTCCTGGGACCACTCTGACCAGAGAAAAGGTTTCGCCATCGTCCTAGTTGCTCGGGCCCCAAACCTAGAAATCCTCTCCATTCCTTTTCTTCCCTCCTCTCCAACATCCCACCACACAAACCCACCAGGTCTGCCTTCAGAATGCCTTCCCCGTCCGTCTCCTCCTCTCCTGTGTCCTACCCCTCGCCAGCCCAAGCCACACCAGCTCGCTCCTGGATGCTGCCCGACCTCCTGACCAGGCCGCGTTTCCCATCTTGGCCCCTGCACTCCCCGCCCAGTTTGTTTTCCACACAGTAGCAACAGTAATTTAAAAGACAAAAAATGGGGACGCCTGGGTGGCTCAGTTGGTTAAGCAGCTGCCTTCGGCTCGGGTCATGATCCCAGCGTCCTGGGATCGAGTCCCACATCGGGCTCCTTGCTCATCAGGGGGCCTGCTTCTCCCTCTGCCTCTGCCTGCCATTCTGTCTGCCTGTGCTTGCTCTCTCTCCCTCTCTCTCTCTGACAAATAAATAAATAAAATCTTTTAAATAAATAAATAAATAAAAGACAAAAAATGAAAAGCAGCTGTAAGCCAGATCATGTCCGGCTCCGTGCACTCAAAACAGAACCTAACTCCTGTCCTGAGCTGCAAGCCCTTTGCGATGGGCCACAGCCCGCCCGCGGCATCTTGCATCAAACTCCGGGCCCACGGTGCCCCTGCCACACCAGCTCTGAGTTTCCTGACGGCACCACGTGTCTTCCCGCTGTGGGTCTTCGCACTGGCTGTAACCCCATCCTGGCATGGCCGGCTCCGTGTCACTCAGGCCCAATTTAGCGCGGACTTACTTCTTGGAAAGGCCTTCCCTGATGCCCCAGGCTCCAGCACACCCTAGTCGCTCTCTCTCACACCCACCTGTGTCACTCCTATTCCCATTGGACAGCTCTTTGCTCACTGCCTCACACACTCAACAAATGTTTATCTGTCACTTCTTACACCAGCAGGATGGGACATGTGTTTATCTTCCCTCAATAATGTGTCTGTCTCCTCTGAACAACCCAAAAGCCCATAAAGATGGGGCCCTTAACCATAGCCTTGAGGCCTGGCATGGAGGAAGCATTCAGTAAATATTTGATTTGCAGAATGAGTAAGAGCCGCACGGTAGCACGTACTCAGGAAACCAGAACTGACCGTTTCTGTCTTGCTCACGTCGCGTGGCCTTGAGCAGCCAGTCCTCCGGAGAGGCCCCAGGGCTGGGATGAATCAGACCCTAACTGTGCTGCTCTGGGCCAGCAGAAGGTGACTCCCTCCCTGTTTACAAAGGAGCCAGCATTTATTAGGGCCTACTGTGTGGGAGCCTGTGCTCAGTGTCAGTCTCCGACACATCCCTGGTCCCTCAGCTGCGGGCACCCTGCAGCCAGCCACGGATGGGTCAATGGGCTGCCCTGCCTACAGCTAAGGACCAACCGGCCCTCACTCAGGTCGTCCACGGTGCAACCAAGGGGCGGGGTCTGCCCACACCCGGGACTCCCTTCTGTCCAGGTTTTCCAGATTTCCAGGGCTTCAGCCACCCCAGGGACAGCACTCGGGGGGTTAGTCACACGCTGCCCCCGAGGGCCCGAGTGCCAGCCCCATTTCCCAACGTGTGTGCCTCTTTCTCCCTGCTCTGGGCCCCGCCTGATTCCAAGATCAGGCTCTACCACCAGCAAGCCATCCAGCACACTGGCCAAGAGCCAGAGCCCACCGGCAAGGCACGGTGCCATCACACCAGCTCTGGCACTCACCAGTCCCGGGACCTCTGTCAGGCCACCGCACCTCCTGACCAGGCTGAAGACTCGAGGGGCACCGGGACGGCACCGTCAGTTAAAACGTCTGACTCTTGCGGTTTCGGGCTCAGGTTGACCTCAGGGTCACGAGACCAAGCCCCATGTCAAGCTCTGCACTCAGCGCGGAGTCTGCTTGGGTTTCTCTCTCCTTCTCCCTCTGCCCTGCCCATCTCCTCCTTTCTCTCTCTAAAATAAATAAATAATTTTTTTTAAATGAAGACTCTAAGAGCACTAACGCTCTGGGCTGCGATGGCAGTGTCTCCTGTGTTCCTGCTCCTCCCTGCTCTGTGGGCCCCTGAGGTCTCCCCAATACCAGGTCAAGGGGAAAGTGAGGAGAGGGGAAACAGCTCTTTTCTGGCAATACTTCAATGGCCGCTCTCAATACCAGAAATGACGGCAAATGAAGGAAAAGATTCAGCGCCCCAGACGTAGACAACGCAAACAACAAGCAAATACCCCGCTGGGCACCAGGGATACAAAGGAAAATCAGACCTCATCACGAAAGAAGGCAGTCGCAGCAAGAGGAAGACCGGGAGACAGAACCACAGAGGAGAAGTGCTGGGGGCTCGTAACAACAGGCACAGGGAGAGTGTCGGGAAGAGATGCAGCCGCCTCTGTCCACTGGGCTGCAGCGATCAGGATGAAGGTGATAAAGGGTGAACAGGGCCCCCTCCATTTCCCAAATGCTCTGTGCCAACCACTGTCCTCGGGCCAACGGGACAGGTTGGGCGAGAGGTGGCCTGCCAGACTCCCTTTCTGCCCTCACCAACTATACGCTTCTGTGGGTCACGGAGGGTCGCCACACTGCTGACGGCGAGGTTTGTACACGCTGAGATTCATAATTCATCTGAGTCCACACGCAGCTCCCAGTAGCTCAAGAAACAGTAAGAGCATCTAAATAATGGAAAATTCATTTGAAAAAGACTCTCTAGGCAACTTTTGAAAAAAACCCTCATGGCTCAGACGGACGCAGGGACTCACAGGCCTGGCAACAAGAGGAGAGACCGGCGGCTTCCAAACTTGCTTTCAACCTCGCAAGCCACTGCTGAACTGAAATCCACCCGGGAGTCCAGCCCGTCAAACCGAGGCACACAGAGCTGCTCTGGTGGAAACAGCCTCCTCTTCCCCAGCCCCTGATGGCCCTCAAGGCAGCTCCACAGAACCCCTGGGGCTCCACAAAGCACCGACGTAAAACCACTCCTCTGGGCCAACCTCTGAGTGCACAGAGGGAAACAAGTCCCACAGAAGTCACGCTCTGAACAGCGGCTGAACGCACCCCCGGTGTCTAACTCCAGGCTAAGACGTCTCACTCCACTTTGCTAGAGCTAAGTCTATGGAAAATAGCAATTAAAAAAAACAAGCTCATTTCTGATCACCTACAACATAATCCCTAAGTGTTTTAAAGGCCCCTGAATTAGCCAAGTATGAAACCGAGCCCAGCCCCGCAGACTGGCAGAAAGAAGTTCGGAAATGAGTTGCAGAAGCACAGCTGACAATTCCATATAGTTCCCTTCAGTTCTGTGGGACATAAACAGGTCTTGAAAGGCTTGGGCTGTGTGGCTGTGGGAGACCCTGGGCCAGGCGGGCCAGGAGGTGAATGCTAATGAGCTATGGAAACAGCAATTACTTCCCCCATGTCAGGCACTGTGCCAAGCTAAGGAGGATAAAGAGGGCTGAGATATTTTTAAAGTATTTTTACAGCAGAAAAACTTTCCTACAGACTCAATTATATAACTATCAGACTCCACCTCTAAGTTGAAATTATCCACGGCCTTCAGGAATAAAAACAAAACAAAACCCCACTTTTCTCTACAGGAGGGCCACAGGTTTCTCCAGAGAGCCTCACAGCTATATGGCCAGCAACGCAGGGCAGCTGTGAACCATCAGCCCAGAGACCTTCCCAAGGGCAGTTTGGAGCCTGTCAGAGAAGAATACCAGCCAAGTGGAGGGCAGAAGTCATGTCATTGACCCAGCCACTACATGCGACGTTATATGTCCAGGAAGGTCCACTCGAGGGGGCTCTGGCCCCAGCCATGTTGGCACCCTCCTAACTTCCTCATCCCAAAATGGGGCTGAGGTCCCTGAAGGAGACAGGAGGCCCAGGGATCCCACGGTAATCCTCTGTGACCAGCAAAGGGCAGACAGTCCCAGAAAGCCTTCGGGGGCTCAAGGAATAAAGAACTTCACCAGTGAAATGAGAGTCAAAATCAAAGGCATTAACTTACAGCCCAGGTTTTTGTCAGCCTGAAGATGGGTGCACTTTGTAATGCTGATACCACAGACATGAGAGAATGAAGGTTGTTGAGTTCTAGAAGTTTCTGAAAAAAAGATATGGAATAGATTATTTTGCTGCTATAAACAACAGAACAAAAACATGCTCAAGTGTTACCAAATGTTGTCATATTTATGAAATTCGATTATACTTAAAAATATCTCATGTAGAAAATATAGTTCTATGGAGTTCATAGAAACCATATGCTTTTTTTCTCAAGTTGTCAAAAGGTGAGTTTGCATCTAAAACACTTGCAGAATTTTATAAGCTGACTAATCTGGCTGCTGGACAGAAACGTGGCTCGGGATAAGGTTTGATAATGTCCTTTATGTTCTTTTTTTAGACGAATCGGAACTGTCCCAAAAGGCTTTTATAAACTGAAGCCTCGGCTGTGCCAGCAACATCCACGTGGGTCTTCTGTGACTACCTTACACCAGGAACAAGAGGGCCCAAGGAAAAATGTCACCAATCTGCATGGCCCCCAGCCCCTCCATTAGGAAGACAGAGCTCTGGCTTCTCAGTCACTTGACTGTGCTCCTTTGAGCTAGACCCCACGCTGGTGAGAACATTTGGATTCAATTCAGTCTCACACGAGCTCCTGACCATGGAAGAGAAGAGCAGGGGACACGCCGAGAAGAAGTACAGAAAGACATTCTAGTTTGGCACTGAGGGAAACCTGCTAACGGGACTGGGGTCCCCTTCTCATTCTTGGGAGCCGGTGAAGTTTGGGCCAGAGAGCAGGCTCCACGGAGCCAAGAGACCTGGTTCCAATCCCAGCTCCCAATCCCCGTGTGTCGCAGCGAGCTGCTGAGCCTTAACATGCCGGCACCTACAAGGAAGGTAACCACGGCACATATGCTACCTGGGATGGTGTGTGCCAAGTGCCAGAGCAGCACCTGGCTCTGGGGGAGTGCTCTGTGCCTGTGGGTAAGACTCCCCCCTGCCTGCCCCCTCACTTGTCTTGGGTACTTTCAAGACCAAGTGCCTTTGCCTTTCCTCTAGTATGACTCTTCTGACCCTGTTCCCAAATCTAGGGAGCTCGGGGCCCCTGCCTATGTGTTCCCACAGCAGTCTGTGCATCTCCTTAGCACACTGGCCTGCAGTCTTTTTGACCTGCTTCTCTCTCACCCTGGACCAGGTGTTCCCCGAGACCAGGGGTGAAGCTGTACCTGCTGTCATATCCCTAGTGCCGCATATGGCACACAGTAGGGCCTAGTGAACAAATGAATAATAAAAAGCCCTTATGTCTAGTCCTCACGGCTCTGTTCCTTCTCAGATCTCTCCTTTACCACACAAGTTAATACTTCCTTTCATACATCTTGTAACAATCTCTAATTGTTTCCTGTGTGTAATAACAGATTCTCTGAGAGGACTGAATTTCATCCTATGTATCTGAAAGGCTATGCCTGTCACACAATTTCTTTCCGAGCTGAAGGTCCTCTGGGAAACCTTCTAATCCAGCTGCCTCATTTTGCAGAGGGGAAACCAAGGCCCCGAGGAAGGAGGGGTCTGCACAAGAAGAGCCTCAGGGCACAGTGCCGGCGTGATGAGCCAGCGCTGGAAGATGGCAGAGGTTAAGGTGGGACCGGCTTGGATTCCTTGGACAGGCACCGTGAACTACGTTCCAGAAAGCACCAGTGGCTCAGAACATCACCCCGCTTTCTCTCATGGCCCAGCATGAACGCACTGACGGTAACAAGCGTCATTAAGCCCAGCCCCAGCATGGTCCCGAGCACTTCCGAATGCACACGGCATGAACGTTATCTGCTGCCCCTGACATACTTCTGGATGGATGCCCTTAACCTTCCCATGAGGGCAGCACAGCAGCTCCCCTGAAGGCAAAGAGACATGCTGCAGCTCACGCGCTACAAGGCCCTGGGCATGGCCGCTCACCTCTCTAAAGCCCTCTTCCTCCTTTAGAAGTGAGAGAATAACAATGCGAACATCGAACACAATCGGTTCAGTAGAGCGGCTGCTGTGATGCCGGACTTGTAAGGACATCAGTACAGGTCAGCGGGCCCAGGGCCTGGGTGGGAACACAGCACGTGCACACAGCACACGGGGAACCAGACAGAATGGCAGTGTGCCGCCCGGGTGCAGGCACGCCCTGTAGTCCGCAGCAGCGTAAGGGGAGGAGCTGGCGGAGTGATGAGAGTGGCCAGCATCAGGGAAGAGGAGGGGAAAGGCAGGGTACAGACCTAAGCCCGGTGCTCAACAGCTGGCAAGGACAGAACCTATCAGGGCAGGGGGTGGGAGTGGGGAGTGGGGGCCTAGGCCTTAAGCTCAGGATGGTGGTGGGGTGAGCTCTGCGGATCGTGGACAAGACTGCAGGAGGTGATGGTACCACAGAGCCTGGCAGGGCCCAGGACTGGCTGAGTCTGAAACAGAAGGAGGAATGGACCCCAGAGGGAGCCCCCAGGGTCTCACAGAGTCTGAACAGCCAGCTAAGGAGAACGGTTGACTGCCATCATAATGGGTAGAGGGCCACCCCACCATGCGTGCAGGGGGGCAGGGATGCCGAGCAGGCACGTAGGCCAGTCTTACAGCCTACAGAAGTCAGGTCACAGCTTCTGTTTGAACCCAGTCCAGCACACCCAGAGCAAGGCAGCTCTCAAAGTACTGAGGAAACACATTCTGCAAGAAGGATGGAAGGAAGGGAGGGAGGGAGAGAGGAAAACATAATAACAAAAGAGCTTACCTTGGCTATTTTCACAAAATGGCTCAGGATTTCTGCCCTTATTTTTAAAGTCTGTGCTGTTAGAATTTCTCGAACAACCCAAAAACTGACCTGTAGAGTCAAATACACACACACACACACACACCAGAGAAATGGTTAAGCCCTGGACCGCCCTTGTCACCCTCGCCCACCGCGGGGGGTCAGGAAGCTGGAGGAGCACAGGCCCGGGGTTGCAGGTGGCTGAGGGGTCCTTTATGACACCCAGCCCTGCAGGTGGGTCCCTCCTTCAGCACCCCGTCTCGAACACACACGGCGATGCCGAGAGACAAGTACTTTCCTCATCACCCGGGGGAATTACTGGGCCTCCACAGCATATGAATCTCTCTGAAGCTGTAGCAGGAAATTTTGAGATGATTCGGACAGATTCCTGCTCAGAAGGCAGTCAGTTGTGGGAAAACCATGGCTGGGGTGTTGGATGGATGGATCGACAAATGGCCAGACAAACACATATGTTCACTGGCTGTACCACTGTGAGATCTATATCCCCAGCCAGACCTCAACTGAGTAGGATTCACCAAAATTTGCACAATCACAACAAATTTAATTTTCTAGGAGAGGTTCACCCAATAATTTAAATGATATGCAGGTGTCTTTCAAAGTCCCAAAAAGCAAGGCAGGTGAAGGGACATGTTTTTCTGGAGACCACTGATGCCAAAAGGACATGACGGTACTTTGGTTTCAGAACATTATTCACGCTTCAAAAAAAGAAAAAAGAAAAGAACATTATTCATGCTTGACCTCTCACAGAAATCAACATCCCCAAGCCCCTGAATCCTTTCGGGAACAAGCAAGTTGTCTCCCAGGGTATAGTGGACTCACATGACACCTCAGTACAACACAGAAGGGGCTCCGTGCCAAGAAAGCCTGGGAAGTGGTTACTTTCTTGTTTATGTCTCGCTACTGTAACAACAATGCTGTGTGACCCATGGATGCCCAAGGGTGGGATGACAGCACAGCCGAGAGAGAGAGAGAGCGCTGAGCTGAGTACAGGGAAGTGTGGAGTTGAAAGGAAGGCAAAGGCATCTAAAACCTCTGAATTTTATAAATTAAAATAAAGATAGTCCAGAGTTAACAAAGCACCTTTACTGCGGCAACTAGATTTTTTTCTCTTTCCTGAAATAGTCACTTTTCAATGAGAAAACAAGAATAACCAAGAATCAAAAATTTGCTTTTTATGTTAAGCAGGAATATTATAGAAAAGCTTTTCCCGCGTAATTATCTGTGGTTGCCTCCAGGACATGCCTGGGTTTCCATAGAATCATTTTTTCCAAGGAATTGCCTAAAATTAAGTTCAGACTCAAACGTTTACTAGCCAGTTATGGAAGAAAGATTTTCTGGACATCAAATGATAGGCCCATAAACCTTATATTTTAATACATGCACATTTTTATCCCACATAAACTCGAGTGTGATAGTTTATATGTATAATTTAATAGATGCCTGCACGCCAAAAAATCACACACATTTAAGGCATAATTATGGCACACGGCAGGGTCAACATTGATCTGCAGCACACGGGTGCGGAGGCAACTCCAGGTCAATTCAACAGACTTTTGTGAAGCCTGTTCTGTGTACAGGCTCTAGGCACCGTGAGTCCAGACACTTGGCCCTTGCCTGATACAGGGGTGATCAGAGGAGGCAGGATCCTCCCGAAATCCCACGGCAATCCTGGACGCAGAAGTTGTTTAACCGAAGCGGACTGGAACACAGGAGAGTTAATGGTAGAGGAAGGTCTGCTGGAAGAGGCAGGCCTTGAAAGATGGGTGGACTTCGAGCAGGTAAAGATAGGATTGGGGTATGGCTGTATACACCACGACCAGGGAGGGCTGAGCGGACCGACTGGTCTGGTGTTGCAGGTGCTCTGTGAGGTCAGGGTAGAGGGGGAAAATCAAAGCTAGGAAGGGCACTGAAGGCCAGATGACGTAACACCAAAAACTCAATCCATGAAAAAAAAACCCGGTAAGTTGGGCTTCATTACAATTAGACATTTCTATAGTGCAAAAGACGCTGGTAAGGAAATTAAAAGATGAAGCACAGCCTGGGGAAATACTTGCAAAACACATATTTGATGTAAGCATTATATTCAAAATAGACACTTAAAACTCAACAGTAAGAAAACAACCCAACTAAAAAATGGGCCAAAGATCTGGACACCTGACCAAGGAAGTACAAATAGCACTAAGGATGAAAAGATGCTCAACATCATTTGTCACGGGAAGGCGGAGCTCTGTGTGTGTGTTAGAACGGCTAAAATGAAACAGTCAGTGAAGGTGCCAGTTGCTGGCCAGTACCTGGAGCAACACACACTCTCATTCCATTACCGGCAGGAGTACAAAATGGCACAGTCCAGCACTTGCACTCCTAGATATATATCCAGCTTCTTTGAAATCTTATGTCTACACACACATGCGTGCACGTGCACATGTGTGTGCGCACACACACGCACATGCTTCTAGCAACTTCATTCATCATTGCCAAATACTGTCCTTCTCCTCTCTTTGCACAGGCAAATACCAGTTAATTTTTAGGAAAGACCTATTGTCTATGTCTAGGTCCACTTTTCTTTATATACATAAAAAATGTTCCAATTGTTCCAGTACCATTTTGTAAAATGTCCCCATTGGGACAAGTTCATATATACATATATATAGTCAAATTCTCAAAAGAAGACATAATCCAAAAAAGGCTGAGCATTTCTGAGCTCTACGGTGAACTCCTTGGTGCTGAGATACAAGCCTGGCCCATGACACATGCTCAGTGAACTTGTCTGGGTCCTTCCATCCCTCTAGGAGCAAGATGAACAAATCCCAGGGGACTCAGATCCCACAGAGAGGCAGGCAAGTCCACCGAGTCTGACCAGGACCTTGGCTACTGGGTTTCTGGTTTGGCCACAAAAAGCCTCAAATCTGCGGGCAACCTCTTTCCAATCAGTTGATCTTCACGTTCCCTCTTATTTTCCCCCAAAACGTTGAATGTTTACTACATGCCAGACACTGCACTAAGAGTTCTTCATATACCATTTCACTTAATCTCCACACCAACTCTGCAAGGTGAGTCATATTATTATTCTCACTTACAGATAAGGAAACTGAGGCTCGAGAAAGGTGAGTGACCTGTTTTCCTTATCTACAGTCTGATGGGGAAACTTGTTCTCACATATAAAAGTCTGCCAGGAAGGGATGCCAATCAGTTCATCTCAGAGAAAGCAGCCCCAGTGGCTGACCAGGGCTGGTTGCTGGCCAGTTTCCAAAAGAGAGCTACAGGGGCTGTGTCCAGGAGCTGCTCACTCGGAGTAGCTGACAGGCTGGCAGCAAGACCATTTCTCAAAGCATTCTGTTTGGGAAAACGCGACTGCACTTCTGGCTCACTTCACCCACTTGGTCTGATCTGGACACAAGGCAGTCATGCGCAGAACGAGCTGCCCCGCCCCTGCCAAGCTGACCTGGCCTCCGCGAGCAGGGCAGATTACATCAGAGCCCCCAGCAGCCCTCCTCCGGGAGCTCTGCGGCTGGCCAGAGGTGGGACTGAGCTGGCTCCCAGTTAAATAGTTTTGTGAAGGAAACTCTGAATCCTCTGATAGCGTGTGCACATCTGTTTTATTTTTTAAAGCCTAAGCTTGGTTGAAAAGGGAGATTTTGAAAAGAAAGAAAAAAGAAACAAAAGGCTTCAGAACTTCTCTTTTCAAAACAAACAAGTACATACAGCCCCTACTCCCAACGCAACTAGACCCTTCCTAGCTCCTGTTGTAACAACAAAAATGTTAACTCCAGATGAAAAGCTGTTGCCTCTTTGAGGCTCCCTCATCCTTGGATGGCAGCCGAGGCTGGGGAAGCCTGGAGAGGGCTGGGCAGTGGTGATGCACAGGGCCCGGCATTTCTGAGCAGGGAGGCCCAGCTTCAGGGAGGGCCCAAAGGGAACCTAGGCCCATCACCCCAAGGTCCAGTCACGCACACTACACAATCTTGAATCCACTGCCCTCATGTGAAACCAGAAAAAAACAAGAAAGATGAAAAGCTGTCAACAGCACCATTTGGGGGTTGGCCCACCCAAAAGGGGTCTTACAGGGTAGCTTACTAGCAAAGATCACATTCTGGCAGATTGGCTAAGAAGCCAGCAGTCCACTACCCTTAGTTGGCCCAAGCCCCCATCATCCTTCCCTTAAGAGGGGGCGTGGACCTTCATACCTGGAGCAAAGGCTCTGGTTGGAACAAGTCAGTTTGCAGCGGGATGTGTGAGGCCAGTGGCCTGGCTATGAGGCACTCAAAGAAATTCAATTCAACAAGTGTTTTCTGAGCATCTCATTGATTCATTTCACAAGCATTTACTGAGGGTCTCTTTTACCCTGGACATTAGGCAAGGTGGCGGGAGGCACAGTGGTGAACAAGACAGAGCCCAGAGACTGGCATAGAAGGGGGAGGAGAAAGAGCTCCACAGAGTGAGCAGAGATGAGCAAAGGGCCACACGGAGACAGAAGCACAGGATTCAGTGAGAGAACGTGTGACAGCAAAGACCTACACAGGCTGGGGATTCACAGAAAGCTCCCCGCAGAAGTGACGTTCAGGCTGATCAGACTGGGAGCTGAACGGGGAGGAAGAATTCTGAGCTGAGAAGATGGCACATCTGGGGGCCTGATGGGACAGAGATATGGTGCATCAGGGAAGAGAAGGAAGGCCGGCCAGGATGGGATAGGGGAAGGGACAAGGGATGGGGCGAGAGGGGTGGACGAAAACCTGACCCACTGTGCAGGACTCTGCAGGGCAATTAAGGTGCTGGAGCCTCAGCTTGGATGGAACTGGAAGCCAATGAAGAGACTCAAACCCTTGAAAGATGGTTTCAGTTCCACCTGCTGTGAAAAAGGACTGTGCAGGCAAAAGCTGTGAAAAAGGACTGTGCAGGCAAAAAGGACTGATGGGCAGAGTGGTTTGGGAAGGAGGGTTTGGACCTGTGCCAGGTGCCTGTGACTGAACCCTGGCAGGGTGCCCAGTCCACAGGGGACACCTGTGCTACCTGCTCAGGCACATGCAAGGGGTACTGCTCACCTGATTAAACCTCCGGGTAAAGGCCACGACGTTGGGGGCGAGACTATGTTTCTCCTTCTTACTCCATCCACAGCTGGCAAGTTCCTAGGAAGCAGAGAGTCAATTTCAGCAGTGATTCTTTCTAATCGGGATGCAAAACACAGCAGGACATCTAATTGGAATGTGGACACGGACGTGGGGAAAGGCCGAAGCTCTGGCCATCCTTTTCTTCACCGGGATGGGTGAGGTTCTCCTCCTCCTTTGGAGAGAAGGGCTGGATCTGGAGATGGAGGTGTAGCCTGGGAACCCCGCTCCCCAGGTGAGGATGGGAAGTTGGATAGTTTTCTCCATAACCCCAGCCACATTTCTCAGGACTTCTGTGCCAAATTTTCCTTAATGGCAAACTGCCTCTCTGCCATCTCCCCTGGTACCAGAAGTCCCTTCTGAAAGCAAACTGTCTGAGAGAGGGCATAATGTGTTAGCTAGCAGGATCCTCCCAGTGAACTTAGAACTTAAAATTAAAATATGGCTAAAGGGGGGCGCCTGGGTGGCTCAGTGGGTTAAGCCTCTGCCTTCAGCTCAGGTCATGGTCTCAGGGTCCTGGGATCGAGCCCCGCATCAGGCTCTCTGCTCAGCAGGGAGCCTGCTTCCCTTCCTCTCTCTGCCTGCCTCTCTGCCTACTTGTGATCTCTGTCTGTCAAATAAATAAATAAAATCTTAAAAAAAAAAAAAATAAGGCTAAAGGATCTCAGAGCTCATCGGCCATGTGACAGCCTCCATTCCTAGAATCAGAAAATGTCCTGGCCCAAGCCCACTGCAGTCAGAGAAGCTTCTGGAACTACCTCACACCCCTTCCCAAAGTCAGCCCCTCCCCTATCTTGTACAACCAACATGGGACCAGAAGGAGAGGCTGCCTTTGACATCTTCTTCAGGGGCTTGTCTCTTTTTTCTAGCAGATTTAACATTACAATCTGAATCACCAAATTACCTAAGTTTTAGCTATCAGTGAGGCTGGTTCCTACCCAAGGGAGCTAACGGGAGCACTTCACCAGGACGACTTGGGGTGCATAAGGGAACCAGGGAAAACCCATTACCCAATGCCCAGCATGTTCAGCTTGGGGCTTGGGGGCCCTGGCAAAGAATGGAAGAGAGGAGGCAGATTAAAGCTCTCCACCTCTGAGTTATAAGCCCTCCTTTTTAATTCATATCAGGCCTTGCTATTATTAACAGCACTTTTTTGCCACACACCTGGAACTTTAATAAGATCGTTAGTGAGAGCCAGCTGCCCACCAGCTGGAATGGGGGTCTACTAGCAAGTCTGGGAGGGCAGTGGGAATGGCCAGAGATAAAACCTGAGGGCTGAGCAGCTGTGCCCAAAGCACGGTGCCCTTCGAATGCTTCTCGGGACCCAACTATAAGCCTCAAACAGGCGGTGCGAAGGCTGGCTGGAGGCAGTGGACAGTTCCGGACACAAGATCCCATGGCCTGGACCTGGGAGCTCTTGGCCACCAAGCCAAGGCTATACAGGCGGCTTCTCCCTCGACTGCCTCCTTTCTGCAAATGCCCATCCTCCTCCTGGCCACCCACATGGAAGACACGGCCATCCCGGACCCTGCCAAGTCCTTCACACCCTCAGTGTAGACCCTAAGTAACAGCAATGACAAGGACGCCAACTAGGGCTGCCATTCAGCAAGAGCCCCCATGTGGCAGTCAGGTGCTGGCCTCATCACGCCTCCTGTCATCTCACGCCACTCTCACCATCTTCGGTTAGCAAAGAGGACGGGCTCAGGATTTTTCTTCTTGAAGGAATACCTTGACCTTCTTTCTTTTCGAATTTAAGCGTGACCCTCTTTGAGATATAGGATTTACCTGTTTACCATGATTCTTCCTGTTCTGAAAATGTGTATTCGACCTGCCTCAGTGACACTGACTTCTCTCTCCCCTTTAGAACATAAACTCAATTGCTTCTGCAAATGGGTATCGATGCCCTTTCCAAGTTAAACTATGAGAATGAGAGCAGCCTTCCTTGTGGATCCCAAAACCAGTCCTGGGAAGGTAGAGGCTACAGTAAGATCTAAAAGAGAATTCATTAACCTGGCAATCAAGGACTAGGGCATGGTTGTTGCCCAGTTTCTGGCTGAGAGTTGCTCCTTTTGTTTTTTTCCCCAAATTCTTTAATACACAGCAAAAGTTATACACGCATGTGTATGTACACATGCACACATTTTAATTACATGTACACAATTAAGAGTCTGTAATCTTATGTAGAATTAGACAGACTCTGCCTCCACACACCAGCTGCATGATCTTCTCAGACACTGTCTTCTCAGAATCTCAATTTTCACATCTTAAAATGGGTATGACACTGTAATAACTAGGAAGCTCAACACGACGATTAAATGAGATTAAGACATTCAGAGCACACAGCACAGAACAAGTCCTCAGTAAAGGTTATCTCCCCTCCCCTCCCGAGGGTCCCACTGCTGTCAGACTCAGCGCGAGCTCCAAACAGCCCTTCCTTCCCCCACACGATGCTCTCATTGGGATCATAAATTATTAATAAAATCTATTACTGTTTCTCTCTCACTTTGCTGATGTCATGCACACAGGAACCAAAGCAAGAACTTAATACATCTGCCCTACATTTATTTGATTAGAACATTTCCAAGACCCTGATTCATAAATTGTTTGTACACTTCTTGGGTTTTGACAATTCCCTAAAGAACCTTTTGCACTGAGAAACATGTAACATTTAAAATTAAAGCCTCAACAGAGTAAAACACTATGTTTGAGGGGTTCTTTGATGAAATGGATGGAGCAAAGGCCTTAAGAGCCAGAACACCCTGATCTGAATCCCAGCCCGGCCACATAATTCCCAGGTGACTCCAGGCAAGTTAACCTCTGGGGGTGCTGGTTTCGTCGCTGATCAAACAGGGACACTGAAATCAACTCCACAGACTGGTGCCAGAGACTGAAGGAGGGAAAGCCTGGCAGAGGAGGTGACACACAGGGCACAGGTCTGGCCCCAGCGGACGGCAGGCAGCATTTGTTGAGTGAATGGAGTATGAGCGTTCCTCATACTCCCAAATTCAGGGCAGAAAGATTTATCAGGATGTCAAAAGAAATAAGACCATTCTATTTGCACTAAAACAAGTCCTGGGCCCAACCTCCTTGGCCCTGTTCCTCTTCTGTGTTTGGCCTTATAGGATTACAAGAGATTCCATCTGTGTGAAGTGGGTTTGGAAAATGTGAAGTAATAGAATAAAACTCTTCCAGTCACTAATGCCTAAAAAAGGTCTATGCTATGGAACCGATCTGAGTATAATTAAGTTCAAATTGACCAGAGGAGACAGGGCTGGTTCTAGAAGGAGCCAAGGGGCTGGGATGAGGCTGGTGGCCCCACAGCCTGGGTGAGCCCCTCAGCGGCCCCTGGGCTGCCACACGCCCCCTCCCCAGAGCGCTAGGACCCTGATCTCGCCCAGTCTGTCCTCGGCTCTGAGTTCTCTGCCGAGGTCAATGGGATGTGAAAGCGGAGGAGTATGAGCCTGTGTGTCCTTTGCCAGCTTCCTCCGGGGCCTCTCTTCTTTCCTGCGGATGCTCCTGGGCTTCATCAGGGACAAAACAGAAGCTGTGAGAAGAAAACGCTCTGCTACCAAATGTGCAAATTCACCTGTGTCCTCTCCTTTCCTCAGCTGCAGCTAGAAGAGAGACCCTTTCCTCTAGGGGACCTGCTCTCCTCCTGGGCACTGGATCCCATCCCATCCCCTGCTCAGAAGCCTTGCCCTCAAGCCCTCTCTCCCCACTTCACCCCCTTCCTCTCCATGAAGAACAGTAACAGGAGGATGATAACAGCAAGGACATTTACGATGAAAGACATCTTTTCCAGGCCTCCGGGCTCCTCTGGCTCCTACTCTTTCTTCTCCTTCCCAATGAATTTCCTGAAAGGGCAATCCGTACTGCTTCCTTCTCCACCTCCTTCCCACCCCCTTCTCCACTGTCACTGCTCGGTCCTCCACGGGTGACAGCCTCCTGGCTGGGCAGTCGCCCGCCCCTTCCCACTCCCTGGCCCTGCCCTTCAGCACTGTATTCTCTGGCCGCCTTCTCACTATCTCACGACCGCCATGCCCGGTCTCATTTTCTGGTTGCTTTCTTCTGTTCCGGCACTATCCCCCACTTCCACCTAAATCTGTCCACGGTCTTCTGTCCTGTTCTATGTCCGTACTCCTCCCTGGGAGCCCACCTTTACTGCCATGGCTTCCACCACATGTCTGTACCCAGTCTAGGGTTCTCTCCTGAGCCCCAGACCAGGATACTTAGCCGCCTCCCGGCCACACCCTCATTGGTACCCCACAGGAACCTCAGCGTCAGTGGGCCCCCAACCCAAAGGAGTCTGACCAGCTGCCTTAAATTTAAAAATGTAACACGTGAGATTCATTTAGACACTTATTCTGAGAGTTGAAGAAGAATGTTTATTACAAAGAAACTGGAAACAATTTCTGATATGAAAACAACTTTTTCTTTTTTTTTTTTTTTTTTTTAAAGATTTTATTTATTTATTTGACAGACAGAGATCACAAGTAGGCAGAGAGGAAGGCAGAGAGAGAAGAGGAAGCAGGCTCCCTGCCGAGCAGAGAGCCCGATGCGGGGCTCGATCCCAGGACCCTGGGATCATGACCTGAGCCAAAGGCAGAGGCTTTAACCCACTGAGCCACCCAGGCGCCCCCGAAAACAACTTTTTCTTAATGCAAACATTCCTAGGTAACAGCAAGCGTCACTACTGCTTGAGGCTCTCCCTGAAAGCTTCCTGGGGTCACACTGCCAGGAACGCCCCAAGAGCTGCCAGTTTCGTGTGTCGGAGTTTGGCGTCAGACCGTGTCTGGGGTCCGTGAGCTAAGGCCCTGGAAGAGGAGACCTGGGGAGTGGGACAAGTCCTCCCTGAAGACACTACAGGACCAGGCCATAGGAAATTGGTGCTAACACATGGCCCTTCCACACAGGTGCTGGATCCTGACTGCAGTCTTTTCCAAATCACGTTCCTGAAACACGTCCTCATGGAACATGCCCCACTTTAAGAAGAGGTCCCTATGTGCGACCTTACAGAGTAT